TTGTTGTTTAGACTGATACAGAAACACATTTTCCTTCTTCTTTGCTCCAACCAGACAACCCGTTAAGCCCGGCGACGAGAGAAAACAGCCTCCTGCCCACAAGCTGATCTGGTACTACCACCAGAAAAATCTCGAACCTGCACCCTCTGCGGCGTCTCTCCCCGAGTACCTGTGGGCGATGCGACACACCAAGAGGTCGCTGGAGGACATGGCCGTGTCGACTGGGAAGACCAAACCCATTTACGACATGGATTTGGCTACGGGTCTTTTCTCTCACGATGTTCTCACTTGCGCTTATGGTAAGTCTCGGTTCCACTTTACCTTCAGCTCATTTCGTGTGTTTTTTTTGTAACCCTCTGAGGAGAGTAGGACAAACTGTAATGCTGTAAATCCCTTGACAAACAGGAAAGTGCGAGGCAAAATCCCGTACGCGCAAAAGAGATGAAGCTTACCTCGCGCACTTCAGGTACGACTGTGAGGATTTCTGCAAGCAACCCAACTCCACCGTGGAAGAAACGATTCTTCTGAAATACAAGGACCAAGTTCTCCCTGCCGTTACGAAAGTTCTCAAGGAGCTTCAGTTGATTTAGTGTCGGCTTCTCAGGAAGTTCTCTTAGTTATGCTTTGAAAGTAATTAGGTTCGCAGTGCTTGTTGTAGCGAGGCAGGTTGTTTCATATCAGGTGCTAAACATTCGTATTTATATTATCCCTATTTCAGTATGTATCTAATACATATCCACACGGGTCGCAAAATTGTGCTGGCAACGATGTTTTCACAAGAAAAGCAAGTTGTCGAGTTATTACGAACAGTGTCGCAGACTTACTCACGGCCACTCACACACTATATTAACATATATCAGATATACCCCAATTCCCCGAAAGTAGTGACTCTAATTCATATCGTATGTCCACAAGAAATGTGAAAAAAATGTTAAGTCAACATCCACTCCTTCAAATCATAAAATTGATTCAAGAAAAATCTCTTAAGAGGCCAATTCCATAGCGTATCCCCGGACGATCAGCCTAATGTACCCTGATTAACAGTTCTATATGCATAAAAAGTCATTACAAAATCATAAAATTCCACTCAACGAGACTATATCCCGAACAAATATTCCTTATGAGGGTACATTACATTGTCAATTTTTTGTTCAGTAAGTCAAATATGAAGCTAAAATTTACCACGGACACACCCTAGTCCGGGATTTTAAGTAGATTAAATAATATTGTTGACAATGTGTTTACATATATTATTGCAGCAAAATGTTGTAGCTACTGCATTCTTTGTATTCGAGTTGTATTCTACCGAAACCAAACCACAGCGGCAATGATGGTTGACTGTGTGGAGTTTCCGGTGTGACGTGAATTAGTTTGCTTGCTGCGAATGTGACTATTTGGTTCCCGTTACCAAATCAGAGTTAATGATCTACTTAGCAAGGATCCACCTAGCTCCCTTACCTGTTTTTTTTTCTTTTTTCATACAAGTTCATTCTTAATTCAGCCATCCGTCTATGGTACAGAACAACCGAATCGTTACCCTAAATGCCAGTTAAACCTTTCAACCATTACCACCTGGCCAGGTATGTGCTCGTTATGGACCGGCGATACTGTCACACAAGCATTCTGTTTGTGCTGTGATATGAGATCTTGTTTTGTCTGTAAATACGTTGTAAATAGATATATGACTGGTTATAGCCATTTATATAAGGCTTCCAGTGGCTTAAATTTCGGCTTTCATCTCCCACACCACCATAGCCATTGCGAGGATAAATATGGTGCATGCAAATGTGTTTTCTTTATTATTGTTGTTGTTATCATCATCGTGTTTTTGTTATTATTGTTGTTATTATTTTAGATCAAGCTATTTCATATTGTATCTTCTTTCTATGTTTTTTTTTCTCTTAAATAAAGACTAAGCTGATAAAAAATTGTTTTCGTTCCTTTTATTAGCATTTAATGAATATTTTATTTGCTCATTTATTATTCTTACATTTCACCATGCCATTTATTTATTCATGATCCATTCTTATCTATTCATTGTCGTATCTCTATCAATTCTACACTATTGCTACTTTTTTATTATTTTCATTCTTTTTTATCAGTTTGAGAATAATTACAAAAAAAGATGAGTAATAGAAATAATTGAACAATGTAATCAATACATGAAATACAATCCCATGACTAAAAAGATACCATAGGCCCCCCCCTGAATTTAGCACCAAAATAACAAGAATGATGATAATAATAATGATAATGATAATAATAATAATAATAATAATATGATAATGATAATGTAGTGAATTTCCCTTGGCTTCAGGCGGGTCCTCCCACAAGCTTCCGGGCCGCCTGTTCCCCTGACGTTACGGTTGTCTGTAGATAATCTACGGACTCCTCCGCCCTGCAAGATGACGTGGTTTTCCTGTTTTTCCTGTGTTTATTTGCTTGTGTCTTTATAAGAATAAACCTGTGTTTTTATACTCTTTGACTTACCTTTCATTGGTCCGTGATCTACATCTACATATACACTACTTCTACTATACGTAACACTGCTTGTAGTTACCTTATGTTCCATACTTACCTTGTCTTATTCTTGCCTTTTTGCCTTCGACTAGTTCACCTTAGCTCTGTTCTCTCTTCGTGTTTTCCCTCACGGATCCCTTCTTTCACATTTTCATACTTTCCTGTCTATTATTTCTTTTATGTGCCCATTTTTGTATAGTTTTATTATTCTTTTTTATTTTATGTATTTTAAAGATTATTTTGAACTCGCCTTACACTATTTAATAAATTAGATCAAATGCATTTTGGGTAAAACCTCACCAAGCGCAGGAAACCACCAGCATATAAGGGCAAGCCAGGCCGGTCAGAGAGAGAGAGGCTTTTATCTTGTGTGGTGACAGATCGTTGGATTTTTAGCTGGCTAACTGGTGCTTCTCGTGCTGTGGCGGGATGCCTCTGTATGGTTTGTTGTCATGTATATTGGTTATGTTCAGAAAGATTTGTGCGTAATAGATGTATAATATGGATGCTCTTTTTATGTTGCCTTTAAAGTCAGCCAGTGATGTTCTTTTTATTGTTCTTTTGTTGTGACTACGGGATTACTTTCATATCACCCGAGAGTCATCTCCAAAATACGCCAAACCCATTGCAGATTACCTGTAGTTGAGTAACACGCTACCAAATTAACATCTCTAACTCTACGGAGTTTCGATTATCCACTGCAGATAATAATAATAATATGATAATGATAATAATAACAATAATAATATGATAATGATAATAATAATAATAATGATAATAACAATAATAATGATAATAGTAATATGATAATGATAATAATAATAATAATAATAATAATAATAATAATAATAATAATAATAATAATATAATAATGATAATAATAATAATAATAATAATATGATAATGATAATAATAATAATATAATAATGATAATAATAATGATAATATGATAGTGACAATAATAATAATAATATTAAATTAATCATAATTTAGAATGTCGCGAATACCAGGCCAGGTGCCAAAAGATTTTTATTGAGTCCATGTTATGTTACTTTGTTATACTTTTATTGTTATTATTATCATTTATTATTATTATTGTTATAATTATTATTATTGTTATTATTATCATTACTGTTATAATAATAAGTATTATTCACATAGCTCTGTTGATTCTTTTCCATTTTTATAATTGGATGCATTTATAAGATTATGGTACTATATAAAATCTGCAATAAAAACAAAACACCAACAAACACGAATTTTGAGGCAAAACAATCCGTGTGGATGTGGCATTTGCAGAAAAATAAAAGATATAAAAGTGTTTTCAATGTTACGTCTATAAAATTGTTGTTGTGTCAATGCATATCATTATTTTTATCTCACCGTTTCTTTTCTCTGGGATTCCGTTTCCTATGATTTAGCATACAAAATACAAAATACAGGAGTGTTTATTACAATATACCTAAAAATATATATGTCCTTTTTGGCTGCTGGTAAAAAAATCTAATTTAATCTTGCACAAATACTCTAGTACGAGATATTTCGTTAAAATAAACACCAAAAAAGCAACATATTTTATTCTCAGCCATTTTTACAAACCTTTGTCAATACGTCACATAAAAATAATATTTTGCTGTATACACATATAAAAATATATTACAACAGGAGCTATACCGTTTAATTACACTTTGAATCTATTAGGTTAAATGCACACAAACTATGGGAATGGAGCTTATTTTGGAATTCTCTAGTCCAAAAACAAAAAAGAAAAATTATTTACAAAAACAGTCAAGGCAGTAAGGACATTTTGGACAAATCCCAAGTCACTTAAATTGTTAGTTGAAAGAATGTAAAAACAAAAACAAAGCCTGTAAGAAGTCACCAGTGTTGCTGAATATATGAGCTATCGTCAGTGAGGTAAAGAAAGTATTGTCGGAAATTTGCGAGGCACGGACACTGCATGTGTATTGTGTGTGAATACATTTATTTGCATGGGTGTAAGTGTACATACATACACAAATGTTATATATATTGTGTGTGTACATACCTATACATATATATATTTATGTATGTGGTGTGTAATACAGAAATGTATGTGGGTATATATATATATGTATATATGTGTATATATATATATATATATATATATATATATATATATATATATATATATATTCATATATATGTCGGGATGCCAAGTGCCTCTGTTGCAGCAGAAGGAGCAAAACAAAGGAGAGACGTGAAAGACTAGTTCTCGGCTCTCGGCACGCGCTTGCAAGCAACACAGAAACGAAGAATCATTCACAAAGCACAATTAAACACAGACGGGACATGCAAGCACACGCAAGCACACATTAAAAAAAAAAACAGCCAGACGTGTACATAGATACACATGCAAACGTGTGTGCAGCCACACGTGTATGTGTGTATATGTATATGCATATATATAAATACATACATATATATATATATATATATATATATATATATATATATATATATATATATATATGTATATGTATATATATGCATGTATGTCTGCCTGTATATATTTATATATAAACACACATATATCATTTGTGCATTTATGTATGCTTACATACACATAAATGTATTCATACACACACACACAAGCACACGCACGCACACACACATACACGCACACACGCGCGCGCATACGGACACACATATATATAGTTACACACACATATATATATAGAAACATGCATACATACATACACACATATATACATATATATACATATATACACATACATACATATATACATATATACACATACATATATACATATATACACATACATACATATATGTGTGCATGTATAAATGTATATATACGTATATGTATGTATGTATATATATACATTTATGTATATGTATATATATGTTCATCTATATATGTATATATATATGTGTGTGTGTGTGTGTGTGTTTGTATGTATATATGTATATATACATATATGTGTATATATGTGTGTGTGTGTACATATACATACACTCATCACTTTAGTCGGTGCAAAAATAGTGAGCTTGGGGTATTTCACTGAACTCACATAAATAATACACATTCTTCATACAGAAAACTTCACTTACAAAACGGAAAGCCACAAATGGATGCGAGACACGGATTTCACTGTGACTAGTTATTGTTTTTGTATCAATATTTGTCAGACTGAGTGACAATTTCTTTTCAATGTTTATTTCTTTAAAGGGTAAAGGTATTTTTTATATGAGAAAAGTTAGTTCGGCCTGCATTATTGTTCGTTTTTATTGACAGGTGATGATCGATAATATATGTATTTTTTATGTTTATATATCTTTAAATCTAAACGATATAACGCGTTTGGACTTAGTTGTTTAGCAAGAGATGTTGAGATATTCTAACCGATATTCAAGCTGTAACATTATGTAAAGATACATTATGATAATCATATCTAACGCATCAGGTAAGGAAACGTAGCTTTGATCAACGACTTTCAAACTTGCGGAACAAATCAACATGCAAGGAGAACTTGAAAGAAAAAAGAAAAGATTGAGACATTTCTATGGAAAACTAAGTCCTGGTTGCAAATCCATGCAAATGTTGATGTAAGATATCTTATATATGATTTATACTAAAATATAATAGAACTTCATACTAAAAACCCGAGGTACGTATTGTTAATTTTATTACAAATTAAAATTATTACTGTTATTCTCACTGCGTTCTACTGAGGACAAGGAGAATTATATAGACTACCCAACAGTTCTATTATGATGCTAAAATATATGCACATTGGCCTTTTTTTTTTTTCTTTCGGTATAGTGATTTCTATACTCGTTTTGTTACCCATATTGTTCACGTGTATATTTCTTTGATTGTGTAGGTCCACCGCTTCCTTGTACGTCTGTCGTCGGAAGGCCAGAGTCGCCAGGGTCGGGCCAATACCAGAGATTCCTCCGGGGTTAAGGGGCAGAGCGAGGGGGCGAAAGCTCCTTCGGGCGACAGAGGCCCTAGCGTCTGCCGAACACGAGCTGCGGAGACTTGAAGTGCGAGGGGATGGCCGGGTGGCCGTTCGGGTGCGCGGCGCGGAAGGCCGAGGACACGGCAGATGCTGTGTCCGGGATGTCCTCCGAGCGCAGAGTGTGCGCGCGCGACGTTTTGGTCGCTCGGGAGGTGTCAGTCCGATTGTCTGGCACGGCCGGTGTCCCGACGGGGAATATCTGCTGTGAAGGGGGCACCAGCGACGCGCCCGAGCTGGTTTGGCCTTGGATGGGCCTGGCGAGGGACTCGAGAAGGCTGCTGTGGGACGGGAAACTGGGGCTTCCGGGCGGGAGGTTGGGATTCCCTATGCGGAAGTGATGGATTTCGGGCTCCAGGAGGATCATCTCGTAGCACGTCCCGCCGTTAGGACTGGTGCTGACGGGCCGCATTTCTTGCACGTAGGAATTCAGAGGCAGTTTCATGTCCAGTTGACTGAGCAGCAGAGGGTCCACGTGCACCGACGGCATGAAATACTCCGGCTCCGTGATGGGGTCTGGGAAGGCGGGGTCATCGTCAAACTCTGGCTCCGTCGGTGCCTCGGGGGTCTCTTCGTGGACGGGGCGCTCCGTCGTCGTTGTCGTTGTCGTCGTCGTCGTCGTCGTCGTCGTCGTCTTCACGGGCTCCGGGACGTGCGCATCGTCGTCCCCGTGGTCTTCGAAGTGATCGATGTGGTTCCTGATTTCGTTCTCGAGGCTAGCCAGGTTGAGGTGACTGGCGTCGGCGGCGACGATCGCGTCTCGGATCAGCTCGAAGGTCTTCATGAACCTCTCCTTCGCCAGAGCGACCTCGGCGGTGTCCGGGACCGGCTGAGGCGCCACGCTGAAGGGGATAGACGTGTTGACGAACACCCGGGGAGACGTCCTGTTGCTCTCGGCGTTTCTGGCATCGTCTGCAGTGTCACGGGCCGTCGCCAACCCCAGCGCTGCCACGAGCAC